CCCCCCCCCCCCGAAAAAAATCCTATATACGCCCCTGCTGCTTAGTGTTATCGATTGCGAGCATGGAGGATATTTCTGCCTTGCACGATTTGCACAGATCTTCAGTCCCGGGTCGCAACGAATACGGCACTGAGCAATGGCCTCGCGGACGCCTTTGCGGCGAGCTCGGAGATCTTCTACTTAGTCGTCGCCGTAACCTTAGGATTATCCTTCCGACGCTGATCCTTGACTATGCATCTTTCAATCCGCGGACTGATATGTACTCCCGAGACGACGTCGAGACCGTGCCACGAACGGCGCGCAGGACGGACTCCGGTTCGCATGAGTAGCTTAACGCATCGCATGGCCGTAGGCTTCGAAAGATACCTTTTCCTCTCATTCGGAGTGGCGCTCCCTCACGCGACTTCAGCCCCTCGGAAAGAATGACGCAGATATTGCCTGGTTCCAAGGGTGAAGTTTAATAACGTCGGAGATACATTCGAGAGAAGGAAGCATTCCTATGCGCTCATCGCTCCTGCTCAAGGAGACAACGATATCCGTTCTCCTATACACAGCATGGAGCGTGATGGTACGCAATCGTTCTCACATTATAATTGTTGACGCTAGGGCTCTCCCGCAGAATATCCCTATATATCAATAATATTACTCGCGTTATTGTCATCATCAGAGTTAATTTCAATTGGCAAATAGTATTCTTGCTTTTTACTCGTTTATTTGTGCATACCTAGGTAAGGCAATGCGCGGAAGTCGGAAATCGTTGAATAAACATATCTACATGAGTTCAAGTCGCTCTGGATCGAGTTCCGAGCTCATTCTAGTCTGAAGCTGTCCCCTTCTGTAGTTTGGTGTCGATGTGCATCTGTGGATCTCTCGCGTGACAGGCGACCACGGATTTCCCACGTCCAGACGACCCACATAGTTATCAGTCATTCGATCGAGTCAGGCATCAGACAGCAAACAGTCCGCGGATATTTGATCGATGAGTCTGTATGTCGTTCAGAGTATTCTAAAAACGACCAGTACCTAACAGTAAATCAGCTCTCCACTCAAGCAGCTTGATAAGTCCGCGTTGGCACGGCGCTCGATGCTATTGTAAGGCGTCTGAACTCTGAACATATCACAGTGAGCTCCTCACGAGTTTCTCGAACGCTTCGACCTGCAAGAATGAAAGCTCTTGCGAACTCCTTCGGCTTCCCTTCATGGGCATGTGGTGCAAATGTCTCCGGAGTTTCGAAAGCTTGGATCCCGAAATACTACGGGTACAACTTGATCTCGTTCGGGGCATGCCAAAGGACGTAGCTTGACTTACATGGCACATATGATTCACGCTCCCTCGGTGCAAAACAAAGGAACTCAGGGTGAGGCGTATCGACTGACCTCGAAGTGAAGCGAACTAGCGCCGGAGCGAGGGAAATCGGCCCCAGAGATGGGAGGCAACACGAAATGGATAAATTATTCAAGGGAGGGGCTCCGAGATGAGAATTTCTGGGACGAAGCGCGGGGTCTCGTTCAGCTCAATGGAGACCCGAACCGCGACAGCGAAGCTCGAGACCAGGGGTGCGGAGCATTTAGCCGATGCAGGCAGAAATCAAGTGAAGCGGGTGTCGGTGCATTTGAGAAGCGGGTTCGGGGCTCAGTACTGGAGACGAACTCGACTGCGTAGTTGCGTATCGACGGCACGCGGTGCGATCCGACAACAAGTGTTCAGTGGCGTTCACTCGACACCACCTCGAGAGAGCTGATCGCTTTCCTATTGTCTCACCTAATCTGGCCGGCAAGGAGCGGATTGATTGCGTACAACCAGTCGTGTATCTCCCTCTCGCAGCCACCTTCCGTCTGCAGTAGATAGCCACCTGTAGCCGTGACAACCGAGAACGTCGAATGAGGTGGTACCTTCAGCATCGCCTGCTGTTCTTCATTGTAGCTGATCTCGGAAGTCGACAAGTTGATTATCTCACGCTCTGCAAATCCCGAAACAGATGTTTTAGATGAGGAACCCCAGCCCTATCGAGCATGATGGACAGTCGGAGGGGACGCGAATTTCGCGCGACAGATCGAACTCACCAATGGGATCGTTTTGATCTTTGTACACGAACATGTACGGCCGTCTGATGGTGACGTACCGCTTGACCCACGACTGAGCTTTGTCTTCGAGCAGACTCAGGAATCCTTTACGGCTCACAACAGGACTGACTCTGATCTCCTCTACTTCGGCGACGTAGGGTCGCATCATGGCAGAACCCGTTCCGCAGGAGAGCATCATGTTCCCGGAACAGCTGCCGTCCATTGGCACGGGTCGGAGACCACCGGGTGGAGGTCCGGTCGTGGCGTTGGCTTCGGAAGTGGGCGACAGAAGGCCGCACAGCGAGTGGCTGGACGTCGATGGCGAGATTCCTCCTTCGTCCGCTGTCGGGGTCGCGGCCCCGTCTGGTATCGGAGGCGGTCGACTCGGTATGTGGCTGTTGACGAGGCCGATTATCTTGCGTGCCAGGACCTGCTCACTTTCCGACATTTCCCACGGATCGTAGGTGGACTCCTTGATTGTTGGCTGTGTTTTTACGGGACCCGCTTCGAGTCCGAGTTTCCCTCGGAGGAGGAGGTAGTGGCGGACCTTCTCGACCTCCTCGAGCCGGGTCAATTTTTCGAGTTCCCACTGATGGTCGAAGATCAGCGAGTCGCCTCTCGGTCGCCATCCGGCAAGGTTTTCCTCTCCTCTGACGTAGGTTGACGACGTGTCGAGGACCCGTCTCTGACGCCGTTGGACGCCAGGGCCTCCAGAGTCGGATGCTCTCTTGAGAACCACCTCGTAGAGACCTGTGACGTGATCGGCGTCAGAGTTCCGAACCCCTCCACTGAACAGTGTTTTAAGGGTGCGCGCGTTGGGTGAGAGCCGAGAATGGAATCGGGCATCGCGACCACCGATGACGAGGCAGAGATCCTTGGTTATGATCGCAGGCTGGGCACAGTTTTCCAATTCGAGATAAGCGGATATTGTCATGTAAACGTGTTCTCCCGATTGCGTGACGCGATTCAGCAGCGGTGAGTTGTGTAGAGATGAATCCCAGGCAGCTTCGAAATGATAGAAACATCTTTCGTCGCCCGCCGGCATCTCCAGCTGACGAGGCGGGAACAAACCCAAGCTGAGGACACATTCGTCGCTTTCATCGTCGAAGGAATCGCATTCGGGAGTAGATCGTAGTCTTCCGACCACGACTTCCTGGAAGAAAAAATCGTGGGTTCAGTGCGAGACGGTCCATGTCGACAAGGCACTTGAGAATCACCACATGCAATAGCAGAACTCACCTTGATGTCCTTCCACGGGAGGTTGTCTGTCCTTTCGTGAACCAGAGTTATGCGAATGCGACGTTGGATGCCCTGGTGCAAGTGAAAACTGCCCCTCAGACAAGGGTTCTCGTCGTGGTGGATAACGGCAGCGGGGAGATACTCCCCGTTCTGTGTGAGTTCACAAATTTCGAACCATACCAAGATATCGTGCTTGGCGACGATGTGAGTTGTCGTACTGAAAGCAACGAGCAGGGCGTCGGAAAGGGCGAATATCGTTTTAACCTGAAGTCTCAATTTTTCTTTCAATTCCGGTCTCAATTATTCTCGATAGACCATCCCCCCCGCGGCCGTGCATCCCTGTCCAGAGGTCCCTCCCACAGAGGGGGGAGCAGCAGAACTATGCTGCAATGAGAAGCTCGGACAAACTTCGAAATTGTCAGAGCCGTCGAAAGGACGAGGATTCATCAAGCAGCGATGGGAAGCTTCACCCTCCGACGCATATTCTGATTTGAGAACAGTGTATCGATATTCCCCGGCGGCTTTGCGGGGACAATGAAAGATCAGCCAAGAGATGATGCCAGCCAGCCGGACTCGCGGAACCCAATATTGCCTCGTTGATCACGCACACCGCGAGAGCGCAAACTGCGATGGTGGACCCTATGCCCAGATCCTAGGCTTTCCCCCACCGCCACGGATGATCTCGATGATTCTCTTCAGAAATGTTGGAGAGCGATGAAGAATGAATACCTTGCTTGAGGAACGACACCGAACTTTGGCGAGCGCACCGGCTGAGATATTGGAAGTGATCTGGGGAACATTCGACGGGGCGGTTGTCGTTGCGGCGTCGACGGGCAGTCACCTCTAGGCCCGGTCGACTCGGTACACGAATCCTTGTGCAGGGGATGAGCCTGATAGTGACCCAACACTTCGAAAACTATCGGGCGACTCCTGATGTACTCGATGAATGCTCGGGTTACCGTCACCGTTATCTGCGGGGAGAATTCCGGATTAGTTTTCGAGATCGGAACTCTATTGTGTAATAGCCAGAACAATCGGAATCGAAACCTACATTCTGTTTGTAATAGAATCCGGGAGGCGGCCCCTTCGCAGTATTTTTCATTGGTCCGTTGAGAACGCCTCATCGTGCCGATGCAGGAAACTTTTGGGAAAAATATCAATTCGGAAGAATTCCCCATCCCATCTCCATTGAGGATGAATAATATTATTAAATAATTATGTGATAATAGCATATTATGAAGAAGTTTCGCGTGTCTTACTTGAATTGACAGAATATGTCCGCATATTCCCTAGAGATACCGATAGCCTGTAGGACGGTCACGCGGAAAGTGAACTCGGAACCGAGCCGCAGGTGTTCGGGCAGTAGAGATTCGTCGATGTCGCCGTCGAATTC